AATGAATAACCATTTATTTTTTAAAAAGTGATCAATGGTAGATGCTAAAAATGCAAGTGTGGTGCAGTATCCCTTCAAAGTGCAGATGAGACCAATGGCTACGTTCACTCCAACAGAGCACAAAACCCTTACTGGATAAAGTCTGAGACTGCACACAGCAGCAAATCTCTCAGAAACTACAATTTGGTGAGTTTTTGTATGCCAACAAATTTAGTAATACCTACAACTATCTCATAAGGCAATTAATGCCCTCCTTTCTTTTCCAACATTATCTGTTTGATGCCAGATTTTTGACTCAAACGACAAAATCACAGTAGCCTGACTGAAGGAGCAGGTGTGAGGATTCAGTAGTCTGTAAAGTCAGACATTAAAACGTTTTTGCAAAAATGTGAAACGCTACTCTCCTCACTCAAATAGTTTTGTTTGGGAAAATATAGTTATTTGCCATTAACATTTTATTTATGTTAACATGTAATGGTCTTACTGCTGTTGTTTAAAAATGAATTATTGGAGATTTAAACAGGTTCTCAGCTTTAATTGCTCACATAAATAAGAGCTCTTTTGGGGCGCCTGGTGGCTCAGTCGGTTAAGCGTCTGACTTCGGCTCAGGTCATGATCTCACAGCTCATGAATTTGAGCCCGGCATCAGGCTCTGTGCTGACAGCTCAGAGCCTGGAGCTTGTTTCAGATGCTGTGTCTCCCTCTCTCTCTGCTCCTCCCCTGCTCAAGCTGTGTGTCTCTCTCTCTCTCAAAAATAAATACATGTTACCAAAAAAAAAAAAAAAAAAAAGAGCTCTTTGGGTCCTCAATTTTGTAGTTTGGAAAGTGGTCTGGAGACCAGGAAGTTGGATAAATGTCTTCAGAAAATAAACAGATTTACAAACCCAGACCTTTTACAAACCAAGTGTAGCTGTCTGTAATGGCAAAACCAAAAAGAAAAAAGTGGAAGCAACTTATGTGGCCAATAATCAAGAAGTGGCTAAATTATGGGGCCTCCATTTGCTAGAACATGATGCAGTCATTAAAAATTATGGTTTTAACGAGTATTTATTGTGAGAAAATACTCGACACACTCGACACACCATTATAAAAGGGCAGAAGCAAACTTTCATGGTCATGCTTCTGTGGTGCCTTGATTCTCAGGGGACTTAATGGAACTGGGGGCTGAGGACACCGACAGACACCCCAAAGGGGCCCCACAGGCCACGAGCTCACCACACCTGTAGGATTGGAGGACCCTGGCTATGTTTAAACACACAGTAACGCCGTTTTTTTCTGAACGATCATTCTCAACTTCTGCCTTTACACTCCTGGTGAGACTGAACTCATCTCCAAAGGAACCAAGGAATCTTCTCAACCCTGCTCTCCCCAAACTTGAGTCTTTTCTTTGCTTTGGTTTTGGAACCCTGGGCTAATGTTTCTGGTATTTGCTTGAGTTCCTCACCCTCTCACGTGCTGGGAAATTCTGGTCTCCTCTAACCCCCAAGCAAAGACAGGGCAGGCAGGTAGGGAACTGCCGGGGTGGAGGTCCTTGGGGGCTTTCTGTATTCCCACTGCAGGGATGCTGGCTGTTACTGAGTGTCACCCAACATCTGCAGCTTACGTGCTTTGCGCATTTATTCTCATTCTCCTCATTATGGGCATATAAATCCCTTTTCATGCCCCAGCCTCCTTCTGCCCACATCTGTCTGCAATTTACTCACCACGTGCTGTGGCTGAGGAGGCAGCATCTTATTTATGACTGTAGAATGCCAGCCAGGCTGGAGGTGCCCACGGCTTTCAGGAACCATCGCTACCTTGGGCTTGGATGGGCGGCTCAGGGGGTCTAAGGTCTGGGCCGCCCCTAATGGGAATCAGGGGACCACCATCTTCAGGCAGATCCAAGGAGGTGTGCTGAGCGCCCCCCTTGTCTGATAATCACTGAGTATTTGCACTAATAGTACTAGGGACTGGGCCAAATACTTCATATCTCATTTAATCCTGATGACAAATGATCTTGTCCTCTTTCTCTGAAGTAGCTACTATTATTAGTCCTGATTATAAGAGAAACAGCTTTGTTTCTGTTACCCTCAGCAAGAGAACTATACAGCTCAGAGAGGTTAGGGCATTTGCCCGAGGTCACGCAGCTCGTAGGTGGTAGAGCCGGGATTCAAGCCCAGATCTGCTGTCCCCATCACTGAGCTACGACCGCCTCCTGTCTCTCTCGTCCATGCAGGCTGAATTCCCGGGACGGAAGAGGAGGTGTGTTCATGCGGTGGAAAATGTTTCTGACTCTGCTTGTCATGGTCTCTGTAACCTTGACCAAGTTACTCAGCCATCCTGATTCTCATTCAGGTGTCTCCAGCTGTGAAAGGGGGTTAATACTTCCTGGGAGGGTTAGGGGGAGGGACAGGTCCAGTGCTGGCACACAGTAGGTGCTCAATAAGGCTCTCCTGCATGAATACTAACAAATCCTGTAGTTGAGACTGATGTTTACAGTGGCTCCCTCTGGCAGATCTGCGCCCGGGGGTGACTTTTGGAGATGGAGAAGATACCTTACAGCACGGAGTTAGGGAGATACGCCTACAGAGCTCTGTGTCCTGTGGGCTGAAGGGAGAAGGATGCACATGTTTTATTTATTTATTTACCTTAATGTTTATTTTTGAGAGAGAGAAAGAGAGAGTGGGAGAGAGAGAGAGGACAAGCTGGGGAGGGTCAGAGAGGGGAAGACCGAGGATCTGAAGCAGGCTCCTAGCTGACAGCAGAGAGCCTGATGTGGGGCTCGAACCCATGAACTGCAAGATCATGACCTGAGCTAAAGTCGGACACCTAACCTACTGAGACGCCCAGGCGCCCCAAGGATGCACATCTTAACAGACAGCTCTCCACCCTCACAGACGTCGCCGTGTTCCTCAGACCAGGAAGCAGAGGCCTGGAGGGGGGAGGCTGTCTGTCCCACGAGCTGGGGAATGCTGGGGTAAATGAGCTTCTGCTTAGCTCCCTGCCCATTCCTTTGGACCAAGAAACAGCTTAGAGAGGTTTTACCTCACCCTGCCCCTGCCCCCCCCCCCCCCCAAGACGGGTCCAGAAAGGCAAATATGGGTGAGAATTCTTTCCCTGAAAGGAAAGTAGTAAGTTAGTTTCCCTGTCCTGGGAATAAATACTGACAAAGGTGGTAGGGACTGCCTCCAAGGTAGTCCCAACGCTCCATAGGGTCGCGACACTCAGGGACACCAAAGGACACCAGCTCGCACAGCCCCAGGCCCTGCGGCACCTCCTCAGGGAGATTCCTGGACTCGAGTCTCCATCCTGAGACAGGAGGGGACGTCAGGAGACCCCTGCAAGCTGGGAAGCTTGCACACACATGCCTAGACTCCGGGATGGCTGCACAGAGAGCAAATGTGTCCATGCTCAGCACCATGGCGTCCGGATCACCTGTGGCAGCTGGACCACGGCACGTCTCACCGGCCCTCTCCGGCCTGAAGACACCACCCAGAACACCGAGAGGCCCCACGGGAAACAAAGCCCCACCAGGAAATGGTTTAGCTGCTGTACGAGTAACACGTACGGCGGAAAGAAACTCCCAGGGTGCTGTACGCCCTCCAGGATGATTCTGCAGACTCCCTGGGGGACATCAGTGGGATGCCGGACACACAACCGGACACACGGCCTGCTTGGCGGGCGTGCAGTCTCCCGCTCGCATCCCAGCTTCGGGCAGGGAAACCCAGCACAGCAGAGCCCACTGACCGTCCCACAAACACCACCCTCCCCATCCCTGCTTCCCTCCCAGTTAGCCCAGTAGGGGGACCAGGATGCCCGGCCGGACGCCACACTTCCCAGCTCTCCCTGAAGGCGGGCATGGCTGTGTCACCGAGCTCTTGCCAAAGGGACTGTCTGGCCCTCAATCTGGGCTCTTTGCCCGGATGTCCCCCGAGGCTGAGGGGGAGCAGAGACGCCCAGCAGCCCGAGATGCACCTCTTGATGGCAGGTCTCCGCTACAGCAGCCCGAAATCAACCTAAGTGATAAAGCTGCTTTGGCTCCAAAATGAAGTTTTCAGAGTATTCATCATTCTAGTAAAATGGTAAATGGAGCGCAGGTTGCCAAGTTTTACTGTCTCCCCTCTCCCCTAGGAGAATCAGAGACAGTAAGGGGGCCTCCTGAGAATCCAGGAAGCCCCAAAGACTATTTTGTCGCACTGGGTCATGCATCCGAGTTCTCCAAGCACTGTTTGAGGATGACTTGACCTTTCCTGAATAACCCTGAGACCCCTCCCAAGCCCAGGAGAGATGGGTATGTCACCTAGTGTCCCCGGCCAGCTCTATGGGGAGCGAGCCACACACGTGGGACCACTGGCCCCCTCTTTCCCAGAAGCAGTTTCTGGCTGGCCATGTGGTGGCTACGGGTGGTCCAGCTCGGCCAGAAAGCACCCGGGCTCCCCCTCTGTGCCACCTCTTCTCCCACCTCCTCCCCCGTCTTCTCAGACAGAACGATGGACACCGCATGTGTTAGGGCCACCCACGGGGACAGCGGCCCAAGCCCTCCGAGACACCACCACGGTGAATGCGGTGAATGCGAATGAAGCAGGTGGGCGGGCGCTTCCTCCAGCAGAGAACTCAGCGCATCTACACTGTCCTGTGATGGGGGCGCTCAAGGGCCTCGAGAATGCCCGGGAAGAGGAGAGCCCGCTGCTGGCTCAGCAGCCCGACTTAGCAGAGATGCGCACCCGCCGCTGGTGCCTCAGAGGGAGACGCGCCTGGGTGGCCGCTGTGGAGGGCATGGGGTGGCCACCCGGAGGAGGAAGGACACAGGCTTCCAGCGCTGAGACAGGCAGAGTTCTATTGACACAGGGACAGGGCAGCCTCTGCTGGGGTCCAGGCGCTGGGAGACCCCTGTGTCCATGCCCCACCCCCTGCAGAGGCAGGACCCTGGCTCCTCGGCGCCCCTGTGGCTTGAGGAGGGGGCTCCAGGCTTGAGCCCCAGGCAAGGGGAGGGAGGGAGCAGTCACCGACTGGTCACTTACCCTGCAAGGCTTCTTTGGCTCGGGCTAGCTCCTGCTCCTTCTGGGCCAGCTGCACCCTGAGCTCAGTGGCCGACAGGACCTCGGAGGACTTGCCGCCCTGTGACTCCTCCAGGTCCTTCGTCAACATCTCCTTCATCTGGCGGAGAAGGTGGACCTCCTCCTGGAGCCGGGACACTTCTTCCCGCAGGAGCACTAGGGGAGAAGGGCACACGGTTAGAGGGAGGGGACACTGGCTCGTGCTTGCTCACTGTTTCTGGGGACGGTTCCAAGGTGCTTTGGCTTTTCCCGTTTGCTCTGCATTCAAGGCCTTTCCTACGTATGTGCTGGGAAGAAAAACCCTGAAGCCACTAACTTTATTCCAAGAGCCCCCCACCCCAGTCCTGCGCCCTGTCTCCATCTGCAGAGCAGGGCTGGTGGGAGCCCCCCTCAGCCTCTGCCATACTCTCTAGGGCTCTGCTAATGCTGTCCCCGCACTGAGTGTCCACTCCAGTGGCCGACATCACCTTCCCTCCAAAGGGCAGGAAGAAGTGTGAGGACAAAGAGCCAACAGGGGACAGGATTCCAGCCACGAGCCCGCAGCTGCCAAGTTGAGCTTTAGATGCTCTATCTCATTTAATCCTCCAAAATCCTCCCGAGGCGGCTACCAGCATCACCCCCATTTCACAGGTTAGGAAGTTGAGGCTCAGAAAGAAGAAGTAACTGCACAAGGTCATCAAGTTAGCAGGCAGCAGAACTGGGATTTGAACCCAGGCGTGGCCAACTCCAAAGCCTGAGATCCGGGCAGGACGCCCCCAGAGGCACGCTCAACAGTCCCGCGAATCACGTGGTGTTCCGGAACCCAGCCCTGCGCACAAACAAGACTTTGGTATTCGCAGCCCAGCATGCGGGAGGAGGGGGTCGAAAGAGGGAGAACAGAGGTGGCACCACCTCCCTCCCTCTCTCTGCCCCTCCCCCACTCTCTCTCTCTCAAAATAAATAAACTTAGGAAAAAAAAATTGAAGATACAGACTTGTCCCGCCTCAGGGCCACCAAGAGAGCATCCTTCCTCTTAAACTTGGTTCCTTCCTGTCACTGGGTCCCAGCCCCACTGTCACCTCCTCAGGGGACCTAAAGCAGCCTCACCTGCTCTCCAACCTGGCAGCACTTTAGACAACCTGAGTGAAACCCCTATCGACGTGGGGGGGCCCACTGTTTGGCACCCACGTGCCCGCGGGTGGGCCTCCCCGCAAGCGGGCCTGGTCACACCGCTCCGTCCCACTTGCCGCCGGTCTGGGGTGCCCCGAACAGTGCGTGGTGACACACAGACAGTCGACCTGACTCCCTCGGCCCCTCTGTCCAGCCACTGGGAGCTTAAGGGCACCTGCCCCATGGCAGACGCCACTCCAGGCACAGGGGGGCCTTGGGCGAACATCACAGACAGGTCCCGTCCTCAGGCTGGCACTCCCAGACCCCGCCGTGAACACGGGCGGGACCCCCACCTACACTTCGCGAGGGCAGGGCGGCTGCAAGGGGGCGCCCGGCTGCTCCGCCATTGACTGGCTCGAGCACAGGCTGCGAACTGTCCGAGTCCCTCAGCAAAACCGCAAAGCAGGGGGTCTGCTGTGGGGACCCCTTCCCTCCCCTCGCTCCAGCCCAACATTTGCAAGCTGTCTACACTGCAGACCCAGTGTAGGGTGTCCAGAAAGGAGAAGGGGACACCCTTGGCCTCAGGAAGTCTCCAGTGAGTGGAAGCGGCACACACAGGTAGGCATAACACAAAGACAGAGCTGCACGTGCTTGGGGCACAGGCACTGAAATGGGCCTTGGAAGACGTAAGGGCTGGGAAGCAGAGGGGAGAGCATGAGCAAAGCCCAGGAGGCTGGAAAGCTGGAGGCCCTTGGAAGGATGGGCAGAGGGAGTAAATGGGTACAAGGTGAGAAAGAGCAGGAGGAGGCCCAGAGAGGTATGTCAGGGTCAGATTATAAAAGGTCTTAACCCTAATCACCTCTCTGTGACCCATCTCCAGCGGTTCTCAAGACTCTAGAACTTTCATTCTTGCTCCCTGCCATACACTGAATGTTTGTGTCCCTTCCCCCCCAAATTCATATGTTGAACCCTAATGGGTGATGGTATTTGCAGGCAGGGCCTTTGGGAAGTGATCAGGTCATGGGGATAGAGCCCTCCTGAATGGGAGCTCCCTTGCCCTGACTACCACAAGAAGACATAGAGAGCTGTCTATAAACCAGAAAGAGGGTCCTTACCAGACACGACCGTGCCCGTGCCCGGATCTTGGACTTCCAGCCTCTCCAGAACTGTGAGGAACACGTCTGCTGTTTATAAGCCACTTGGTCTATTGTATTTTGTTAGGAGCCAGAACAGACTGAGAGACTCTCTTTCATCAATTCTTCCCAACTGCCCAGCCTGCCCGGGTCTGTCCCCACTCAGCTGTCACCAGAAGCCTGTTTCACAATAAGGTATGAGTGACTTCTGAGTCCTCGCTTATATTCAGGTGGAAGACAAGTTTGGTTTTGTTGGCTTGCTCAGCGATGTGACTTCCGGGCTTCCTTCGACTCCTCTGAAGTCACCACTGTGTAGACGCACTCTTGTCCACCGTGTCTGCTCAATGGCAGACAAATCCTGGCCTCAAGTCCAGACCCGACCAGGGCCTTGTGGGACCCTGGGCGACACCCATCATTTCTCTGGGTCTCAGGAATCACATACGCTACATAATGCCACCTGTTCGGGGTTGGCCCGAGTTAGCAAAACAGAACAAAGCAAAACGAAACATACAGCACCCCCCACACGCACACTTCTCTTTGAATTTCGGACAAATATATTTTTTACGATAAGCCTGTCCTAAATATTACATGGGACACGTTTACTAAAATTTATTCACTGCTTATCCGAAATTCAAACATCACTGGACGTGCCCTATTTCGCCCAGCAACTGTGCTCCCATCCCACGGGGGTTCTGGCACAATGAAATGGACAATCAGGAGAAAGGGCTTCACCACAGCACCGCAGGGGAGGGAGGGGGAAAGACAAAGAAGGCTTCCCTGCAGCCTGCACTTAGAGGAGAGCAGAGAGCAAGAGGCAGCTGGGTGCCCTTCTCCTTGACTAACAGGGAAGGAGGCGGATTTTTCCGGTGCTCACCTTTCTAACCAGTGTACCTGACAACCAGACCCCGCCCCCGGCTCGGGCCCCGCCCCCCGGCTCGGGCCCCGCCCCCCGGCTCGGGCCCCGCCCCCCGGCTCGGGCCCCGCCCCCGGGCTCGGGCCCCGCCCCCGGGCTCGGGCCCCGCCCCCGGGCTCGGGCCCCGCCGCAGCGGGAGGGCGGGGCACCTCCTGGAGCCAAGTCTTAGGAGACCAGGCTGGAAAAACAACTTTACGGGAGGAGAGAGGCCTGTTCAAGCTTATGAACCGCACCTGCGCCCTGGCTGGGGGTGTAAACCCTGATCGTGCACACCCTGGATCCTCCCAGAGGCAGAGACTTGGGGCAGCCCTGGGGCTGTGATCACAGAGAGACGCACAGGACTGCAGCCCATCGCGGGCTCTGGGACTCCCGGGCAGGCACTTCCCCCCTCTGGCCCTCAGAGGCCTCGCTTGTAAAATGGGGGTGGTGGGGATAAAGGAGACACGTATGTAATGTGCTTACACGTGCGTGTCAACATCCCGCCACTCGCATTCCCTTCTGTGCAGAGGGACTGACCACATTCCTCAGAAACGCGAAGAAGCTGGAGTTGGAAGTTGTGGCTTTTCTGCCTCAGGGGAGCTGCTATCTAAAGCCGCTGTGTGACTCTGGGCAAGTCACTGTCCCTCTCTGGGCCTTCATAATCTCAGTGCCCGCTCTTCATGAATCTAGATGAATGCTCCTGATGATGCATGTCTTCCCTTGGTGGGAACAGGGGTCCCTACTCTAGTCTCAGCCCTTGCGCTGCTCAGTAAGGCAGCGGCTAGCCACACGCAGCTACGTAAGTATAAATTAATTAAAACGAGTAACTCAGTTCCTCAGTTACACTGGCCACGTTTCGAGCACATGTGCATAGCCAGTGGCCCCCGGACTGGAGAGCACATGCAGAGGCCACTCTCCTCATTGCACACAGTGCTGACCTACAGGGCACAAGACCGAGAAGGAAAGGGGGAGAAGAACGTGGTGTTTATTAATCTGGTGTAGCCCAGCCCAGCCCCACAGACAACATGGCAGGAGGAGCCTCCTGCCAATGGCTGGGGAGCTACGGAAGGAGCCACCACTTGTGAAGAAACCATCCTGGCCCTTGTCCAAGAGCAGAAAAAGGAAAGATCGCTGTGTACCCTTCTACCGATGGCTGGGCAACTCCAGTGCCCCAAGACCTTGGTGAAAAGGGCTGGGGCCAGAAATGCCGTGGACCGTGCAGAGCTCCCTGGGCCCAGGAAGCCGGAAGTAAGTGCCGTCTGGGAGACGGCAGTTTTCCTGCCCCAGTGGACGCTGCCCGTTACCAGTGGTGCTGCCCTGGGTTGGAGGTGGGGCCATACCCACTCAGAGGTGCCAACAGAAGCCAGGGCAGACCTGCCCTTCTCTGTCTGGCATCATACCTTTTGTTGTCAAGAGCAGTGAGCGCCTGGTGCTTTTTAAAAAAGCCACTTTCAGCCTCCCTTGCAGCTACGGTGGTCCACGAGACCCAATCTGGGCAGTAAGGTGTCAGAGAAAGCCCGTGAGGGCGACTGTCCTTTAAGAAAAAGAGGACTTTGGGGCGCCCGGGTGGCTCAGTTGGTTAAGTGTGCAACTCTTGATTTTGAATCATGATCTCACGGTTTGTGGGTTTGAGCCCTGCATTGGGCTCTGTGCTGATAGTATACAGCCTGCTTGGGATTCTCACTCTCTTCCTCTCTGTCTGCCCCTCCCTGCTCTCTCTCTCTTTCTCAAAAGTAAACCACTAAACAAACAAACAAAAGGGCTTTGCCCCTTTTCTGCCTTCTTGTCTGGAAAGTGGACTTGTAGCTGGAGCTGCAGCAGCTACTTTGTAACAAGGAGGCAATGGGCACAGAGCCAAGAACACACCAAGACAGCGTGGGCGGGGGGGGGGGGGGGGGGGCGGCGAGACCATGGGGCCTGTACAGCATAGCTCAGCCCAGCCCTGTCCCTGCATCAGGGACTGCATCAGTGAGGCAGGGTTACCTGGAACAGCATCAGCGAGGCGGGGCTGCCTAGTGCGGGAGGATTTCCCTGCTGACTTA